AGTGCGGCTGCGTCAGTCCGTCCGGAAGTACTGCCGGATTTAAGACTGTGTGCCCCTCCCGTTTCAGTTCCTCTTCTGCCTTGTGGAACGCCTCACGGTTGAAATTTTTATACCCGGTCATCGGACCGGCGATATAAACCCTCACCCTCACTCCATCACCTCCTGAAAATTACCCCGATAGAACGCCAGTACACGTTGCATTGATTCGCTGTTACGGCATTCCCGGCAAATTATGTTCATGTCTCTGTCGTAGCGACGGATTTCACCATCAGGTAACTTCCGGACCAGTGCCGGGTCAGCTTTCTTCGGAGTTTTACACCACGCCTGATACGCCTGTTCTGATACAAAAACACCGTATTTACCGGATATGTACAAATCACCACAAGCAACCACATCCACAAGACAACGTCTGACCGTATGCCAGCCCGCCCCCGTTGCCCTCTCCAGTTGCGACATCGTCATGCGTTTGTTCCTGTGTACCAGCCCGATAATTCGTGCCTTCAGTTCTTCCCGCTGTTCAGGTGTAAAAACGCTTGCCATGAGTCCTCCTGAAATTACTTCACAACCCTTAAATGACTGACATTTGAACGCCAGCTCTCCCAGTTAAAATTCACCCAGCGACCACCGTTCATGGTCATGCGGTCCATCACGCGCTCACCAAGCAGCGTATTCATCGCCGCATGGTTCAGGTTCGTCAGCATCCCGACGCTGTGCATCGAGGCCGTTCTGCGATCGACTATCTGGTTCAGTGTGACCTGTTCGTTACGCGTATCCCGCTGCATACCAATTTCATCCAGGACAAGCAGGTCAACTTCACACAACCCCTGTAAAAACTTTTTCGCCCGAGTTTTTGTTGTCGTAGTTGCCGTGCAACGCCAGCATCACATCCGCCACCGTCACCACAATCACGCTGCGACCTTTCGCCAGAAGATGGTTGCCAATGGCTACTGCCAGATGATTCTTTCCGGTACCCGGCTTACCGCTGAACACGAAATTTGTGCATCCGGTCATCATTTCTTCCGCGATGGATTTTGCCTGGCTCAGCGCGTGGCGTTGGCCATCGTTCTTCACCAGGTAATTCGCAAACGAACACTTCTGGTGCAACAGTTGGATACCGGAACGCTTCATAATTTTCTCCACCCGGATCTGGCGATTCTGGCGGTTAATTTCCTCACTACGCTTTCGCCCTTCTGCAAGCTGCCACTCTCTCCACTCGTCCACTGTCCGGTACGGCGCGGTTACATGCTGCGGGGCCAGCTTACGGATGCGTTCAAGAACACCACCTGCCGCAATATTTTTCATAACCCGTTACCCCCTGAATCCCGGCGGAATTTCGGTGTCCGGTTCAGAAATGTGATTCACACAACGCTGTACAGGCGAACGTCCCAGACGAATAACCAGCTCATCCCATTTTTCGCGAAGCTTTGACGGGCTCATGACGTTTTTTACCCAGAATGGATCCCGTTGTACCCGACTGAACATTTCGCAAATTTGCCTGTGAGTTCTGCCATCAAGCATCCGCATTATGCGCACGTCGTTGGCCCATGCGGTCCAGTTGGGTTCTTTCGGTCGCGTAATCTCGCCATCATCGCTGGCAGCCTGTTCGTAAAGACTCACGATTCGCCCCCAGATCCACTGCGCACACGTCAAATCTTCCTGGCTGCCCCACTGGCGTTTTTTCGCACTGAACACAACCGCGTCAGGATGTCGGGTTAAAAAATCCTGTTCAGCCGTCTCCTCGTCCGGTTGCGAAGCTTCCGGACAAGAAGTGTTTTTATTCTCTGTAGTAATCTCTGTAGTAATCTCTGTAGGATCATCGGGCCATTTTGACCCGATGACATTGGGTCGTTTTGAACCAATGGAGTATGTCATTTTGGCCTCTTCCATCGTGTCATTTTGACCTGATGGAGCGGCGCATTTTGACCTGATGGATTCGCTCAATTTGCCATCATCTAAAAGCTTGCTCTCGTAATTGATCGTGTAGAAATTAGTCATATCGCGCTTTGATTTATTGAGCTTTTCGCAACGCAAAAGCCCCAGCGTTTTCAGACTTGCAAATGCGCGTTTTAACGTTGACTCTGACCAGAACGGGAACTGTTCCAGCCATTGTTCAGTTGTGTTATAAATCCAGCGAACACCATCACATTCCATGCCGGAACTGGTATCTCTCAACCAGTAATGCAGCTGCTGCAACACGATGGCTTCGTTCAGACCAATTTTCATCGCCAGCTGCGTGTTTATAACCAGCGGGCGTTCAGCAAAAAGGGGACTCATAATTCCATCCGGCTTTTTGTTGATATTGCTGACGATACGCACGCTTGAAAGCTATGGCTTTTTCTATTAGCTCGTCAGCTTCACGCTCCACAATGGCTGGATCCGCAAAAAGCAGCCCGGACTCCACCACTTCGCCATATTCTTTGTTTAACCCGGCGA